ATGCTCCATCGGATTAAGGATCTGTCTTAACCAGCATGCTGTCTACACAGGGTCTTTCAAGCAGGACATGAGTGCAACAGGACCCTCCCACCTAAATTTCTTTGCCTTTGATCTAGATTAGCATATAGCCATCAAGACCAGTGTCAAGTGATAGCCTTCTACCTGTTAATTTGTCCAATCCATTTTTAAAGCCATCCAAAGTAGTGGTGATCACTACATGATATGGAAATTAATTCCATAGCTTAACTATGTGCTGTGTGAAGAATTTCCTTTTATCTGTTCTGAATTTCCCACCAAGCAGCTTCATGGGATAACCCTATGTTCTAATATTTCTCCACACCATTCAGTAGACATATATTTCCTCTTACCTATTTTCTAAACTTCTTCCCCATAGAGGTGTTTCTCCACTCTTTATTATTTTAATTGCTTTCTGTCACACTTTCTCATCTCCCAAAAAACAGAATATACTTTTTTGAGTGTAGTGACTGGTTCACATTTTTCACAACAGCCACACAATGGATTGATATTTACAGTAAGATGTTCACCACAACCCCAAGATCTCTTTCTTGGTCAGTCACAGCTAGCACAGATCTCAGCAACTAGAATGTTTTGTTCCAGAACACATTGTTTTATACCTGCTTTCATTGAACTATGTTTGCTGTCTGGATGCCCATTCTCCCAGTTTGAAGAGATCCTTTTGGGGCTTATCCTAATTCATTTTTATTTTACCTATCCTAAATAATTTGGTATCATCAGCAAACATGGCATCTTCTTAATTCAAGTTCATTTATGAATTAGTTGAAAAGCACTGGTCCCAAGTTTTGGGACTGTTCCCTGTGAGATCCATCTGTTTACACACCACCATTGGGAGAATTTACCTTGCCTACTTTCTGGTTTTTAACCAGTTATTGATCCATAAGTGGACTTCCCCTTTTGTTTAATGACTGCTAAAGAGTTTTTGAGAAGTCCAGGCAGACAATGTCTATTGGATCACCATTATCCATTTATTTATTCACACTCTCAAAAAAGTTAACGAGACAGGGCTTACTCTTTTGGAAGCCATACTGATTCTTTCTCAACAGGGCTTGTCCTTCTATATGCTTACTAATTTTATCTTTAATAACTCTTTCAAGCAATTGACATTAAACTAACCAGTCTAATTTCCCAGATCTCCTTGGATCTCTGTTTAAAAATTTGATGTCCTCTTGGAACCTATTGCTTGTATTTTTGTAAGAAAGTCTTCTTATTTGGCTCTTTAAGAATGCTTCGATGGATACCATATGGGCTTGGCAATTTATTGTGTTATTAAGGCTGAAAACGTTATCTTTTGTCACTACTTACACACACTCTGTCTATAATGATGGGGATTTGCTTTATCATAACACTTAGCATTTATCTTGCTGACTTCAAGTGTTCGAAGTGCTTCATGTACATTATCTGAGCCATCTTTACAGCAGTCCTGCATGGCAGACTAGTCCTCTTGTGGCAGAGCATATGTGCACAATTTCTCTCTCACACAAGAGGCACACAAATTTCAGGCATTCAGCTTATGAATTTATCTCTGAACAAGCACATGCCCTGTATCACATCTTATGTGGGTCAGAGTGAGGGCCCTACTTACACCATGTGAGCAGGATTTCTAGCTGGCAGCTGTGTGAATGAGCTCCAGATATTAACTTCAGTACCAGCACAATCTCTGGGCTGGTTCACACACCCACTTGATTCTCTATGAGATCAGTCAGAGCCCTTTTTTACTATCATAGGGAGAAAGTGAAATGTGAACTGGCTATGCATAGATATAGCCGGGTGCATTTCCCTCGATGTGGGCTGCTGGAAGTAATATTTTTGTAGCTGTGTAAACAGTTGCCAGTCATAGCTATGGATTGCTCTTCCATTTCCCCACACCAGGGGTGCTCAGCCCAAGCTTCCAATTCCATTCTGGAAAAACTTTCTGCAGTGGGTGGAAGCAAAAGCAAAATGGGAAGGGCCAAAATACCAAAGATGCTGACCTATTTTGCTGGAAAGCTTTTGTAGGTAAATCAATCTTTTAGACCCACCCCCCTGTGTGTGTGTGTGTGTGTGTGTGTGCGTGCGAGAGAGAGAGAGAGAGAGAGAGAGAGAGAGGGAGGGAGGGGGGGGGGGGGGGGGGGAGGGAAACAAAAAAGAGGGGGAAAGCCACCAAAGAGGGGGGGGGGTGAATAGGGGGGGGGGGGGGGGGGGGAGGAGCTGAGGAACCTTAGAGGGCTCAATTGGACTCCAGGACCCCTGCTCCATATGATCATGGGTACTTTCAAACAAGAATAAGCTTTTGCCACTTGGGTGGAGAAGGCAAATGTGTGAATTGTCTCCTTAAGACCCATGAAGGCAGTCTAGTGATCAGACCAGGGAAGAAACTAGAAGCTTGGGCTAAGTTTTCCTACAGCTGGTTTGTACATCATGGTTGGCTAATGGAGTCCATTTCCACCTGCTCCATGTGGTGGGCCTTATATATTGCACTGCAAAGCATTCATGATCAATGATTAATGATACAATTGGAGCATTTTCTCTATATTGCATAAAAACAGCTACCATATTTGATGATTTAATGTCTTCACATGGCTGGTATAATGTCTAAACCATCCTTTATTCTGACACAAGGTCAGGGAGTAAGAAAGAAAAAAATGGGAAGGAACTTATCCCTGGAAAAAGGAAGGGGGAAAATACACGCAAGAACATGTTTATTGAGTCCTGTGCATTTTGAGCTGGGTTGTTCCTCTAGAACATTTTTCATCACCCAGTTTTACTACTACTCTCTTCACACACTGACTGGATTCGGACAACACAATGGTCCACATTTAAGTGTTGTTATGTACTGAGTATGGATAGGGTATGATTGAGTGCGAGTTGCCATTGAACTGTGAGTTATCATGTTGTCTGAACCCATCTTTGCCAACAAGTCATGGCTTGTTAATCACAAGGAAGTCATGAAAAGATCTCATATTTTGTTGTGAGTTATGAACTTCAGGTTGTTTACAGTGGCTTGTTATCTTGTCTGGGTTCAGACAACAAAAATAAACCGTTTTGACAACAGCACATGGTTCAGTGACCATCCATACTCAACCCTTGGGTTACCTTGTTGTATGACCACTGTCAGTATGTTCCAACTAGGAACTGACATATCTGCACATTTCTGTTTCTCATTTTTCTGATGCTCAATTCATTGCATCCCATTTCTGCCTCAGTTAAAAAGTAACAGCTGTGCATTAAAATGTATATATATCTTTGTGCATGATTTGCCAGATATCTGCACTTTTGTATGACTTTTTGGTCAAATGCACACATTTTTTACAAGCGGCTTTCCTGTATATATTGCTTTTCTATACTTTTCCTCATCAGTCTATGCACTGCTGTGTACATTTTCCTCCAAAATATACATTTTAGCATAATTTTATTTTTTGTGGGGAGGTGTCTGGTGAGTTGCATCACAAAGTTCTGAAAACTGTGAATACTGAAGATACTGATTCAGCAAACGTGTTCCTGGTTTGTTCATATCAATATGAAAATTGAACCAAATTCTCTGCCATTTCTGTTAGTAGCACACTCAGGCCATTACCATTGTCCAGGAGACCTACAACTACTGGGAGGTTGCACCCCTGCCTCACAAAAACATCATGGGCAAGAGAAAGACTAACCTTTCCCATCTTTTAATCAGAGAAGAAACAGATGCACATAGCTTGCTTCCCACTTCCTGGAAAAAACTCTCTGTTTCAGTGGGCAGTTGCTCTTGGACTGCAGCGCTAAAGAAAAGTGTTCAGACCAGAGAACTAAGGACTGAGGAGTTATGTGTTTTGGGAAAAGGTTATATAAATAGAGGAGTGGACACAAAGTAGATCTCCAGATGATTTGGATTTCCAGCATTCCTGACCATCAGCCATGCTGGCAGACGTGTCTTAGGAGTCAAATAAAAACATCTGGAGATGTACCTCCTGCTCACCCCTATATGATTACATTCTATTGTTTGCTAGCCACCTTGACCATAATTCCATTGAAAGCAGGGTATAAATTTTCAAAATAAATAAAAATAAATGGGACAGCAATCGTTTAATTGTGCCCCAAGGAAAAGCTCAGTTCAAAATATGCTGGGCTTAATAATAATTTTGTCTTGTGCACTTGGAGGTCTCCTTCCCAGCCAGGGAGCAGCAGCATCGTGTTATTGCAACACTGCATTTACGCATTCATTTCCCAGCCTTTATGGTAGCCCATCTTAGTGGATCCAGCACAACATCTCCCCCACCTTCTTGTATACACAGAGCACACTCCACACTGTCCTTGAAAACACCAGCTGTAAGGAAAGTTTTGTTCCAATGAGAGCAACAGGGATGGTGACTGTACACTGTGCAGAACGTTCTCTTACTGGATCTACCCATACAATACCTGTTGACTTCTGCATGAGTGGCCCATAGGTTTGTGTCAGTTAATGCTGCCATGAAGAATTCCTGTCCAGATATTGTACAAAATGGAGGGACAAACATTTGCCTTAACTGAAATGGGAGTTTCCTCATAGCTGATGGGATTGCTTTGAATGGTCCCTCAACCAAAACTTTTACTTCCATTACATGGATCTATTAGTCAGGAACTGATTTTCTTTGCCCTAACTCTCAAACTGCAGGTTTTTAATTATTCCCAAAGCAAAGAGTCCATCATCTGTCTCCAGTTTCTTCGTGAACTGAACCACGTATTGGAAATGTAACCCGAACATTACCCCATCTATGGGAAGGCACTTTGCTACATAAGTACAGCTGCTAAATGTTCACTGAGAATACAGTAATGGCAAAGGGACAGCTTAAGCTGTAATGAAAAATGTCACTCATAGGAAAGAAATGAGAGAAGGGATTATAGCAGCTTTTAACATTTAGTAACCTTCCTCCCACCTTTCCAAAAACAAAAAGAAAACAAAATCCTGGTATCGTCACATTGGAGTTGGCATGATATAAGTTAGTTGTACTTTGGGTTTGACATAGCTAATGCTGGTTTCTTTGCACCTTGCTTTCTAAGAGGCTGATGTCTTCAGCCAGTTCTGTGACTTTTGCCTGGCAATCCAACAAGTTATCCTTGAGTACAGTTAATTCCTGAGAGTGGGCAGCTAAGGTTTGATTCATATGGTCCATGTAGCCCCACATACTTCCTGCATTATTTTCCAACTCATTTCTGATATGGTCCAGACTTCCCATGACTGTACCCAGTCTGCCACACATGTTCTCCACTTGGGCCATGCGGTCATCAAACTGGAGTACTTCCTTTTGCAAGCTGAGAGCCACACTCTTGCAGTTACTCATATCATTGATGATCCGGGACCTGAGCCTTTCAAGGTCTCCTTTTAGGTTCAGGACACGCTGATTACTGAACAGAAGCTGGGAACCTTGGTCACTGATCTTCTCTTGAATGGAATGGACCTCATCTTCTATTTTGCGTTCCCGTTCATCCAGGGATGAGTTAACATGCAACACTCTGTCAGAATACTGAGAAACAGAATCCTTCAGCCCAGTTAGAGACTTGGTCATGGTGTTTAAGTTGATCTTCAGCAATGTGATCTCACCTTGCAAGGAGCCAGCTGCTTCTTCCTCAATCCGTCTCTGGATTTCCAGAATGGTAGCATTGAGTTTCCGCAATAGGTCAGAGTTGCTGTCCATCCTGAGCAGTAAATCCTGGTTCTTGCTTTGGCAGTCTTCAATCTCTGTACGAAAGTTTTCTACATCTTTGGAAGTGGATGCACAACCCAGTAAGCATGTGCTTTCCAAGGTAGTCAGCCGGCTCTGTAGTACTTCTATCTTCTCATCTGTTTCTTTCTTAATGGCAGCCAGCTGTCCCTCCAAGATGGGCATTGATTCTCCATCTATTCCCACTATGGTGCTGACATTATTTACATCACCTACAATGGTCATGAATCTCTCCTCCAAGATTCTCATTTTATCATCAAATAAAGTCCTTGTGCCATCCAGCTCTGATTCCAGAAAATTTCTCATGCTATCCTCCATGCTGGAGCAACAACTTCCTGCTTCCCTCTCTGTGATATTCAGCCTGATTTCAAGGTCCTCAAAGCGCCCTTCAAAGAGACTTCCCAAGGTGACAGTGGAAAGTTCATTGTCCATCCTGGAGTGTAGGTTCTTTTGAGACTCAGAAATGCTGTGTAGGCCCTTCTCTAAGATATCCATCCGTTTGGTGAGGTAGTTCAAGTTGCTACAGCAGCTTTCCACAACTGTCAGCCCTTGAATCTGGGTTTCCAAATGGGAGATCTCCTTTTTGATCTCCAGTTCTTTGCCATCCAAGGTCTGCTGAAGACGGATGTTGGCAGCTTTCTCTTCCTCACATTGCTGCTGCACTTCCTTGATCTGGAAATCACATGTAGTCTGAATGTTCACTAGTTTCTTCTCAAAGCCATCCAGGAGTTCTATTCGCAGGTTACTAAGTCTGCTGTCCACATATTCCTCCAGCATATCAATGGAGGTCAGGGGTGAAGGCCGGGCTGACTCCAGCAGGTGCTTGATCTGTCCGTCATGGTCTAGGACCATTCCATGCACCTCTTCCAGTAGGTCAGTCTTGATTTTCAGTGCATCACTCACTTCAGTTACTTTGCTTAAGATTTCACCCACTGGTGGATACGGGGAGAGGTCAGCTTTGTCTGCTGCATCCACAATTCCATCAGGAATGACTCCAAATCCCATGGTTGAATCAGGCACACTTGGGCTGTTCATCAGGGATCCAATCATCTTACTGGTGTCTTCTTGGATGGCAAGTCTTAAGTGGTCTCCCAAACCATTCACCATATTGTGTAAGGTGTCATAGGACTGTGAGAGCCGCCTGACTTCTTCCTCTAGCCGGTCCAGTCTATCTCCAAACAAATTAGGCATTTTTCGACCTATACACAAGAAAAATTAAAGAAAAATCACAACCTATGTTACCACCTCTCTCTAGTAGGGCATCATTAGATGGCAACTTAGACTCCCCAATTCATCATCTGTGAAGAAGGCAATTTACAAAATTCTTTTGCAGCCTTGGGCCCAAACTTCTCCTGTGACTAGTGGGAAACAAAGGAAATATCCTGAAATTATGATTTGCACATTATTAGTTCACAGGAACCCTACCACATGGGTGATAAATCATATACACTATTAATATACTGCTAATATACTGCTTAGATATACATACTGGATATAACAGGTACTAAGATATGCTAAGTTCTGATATGAGCTCTTGAAACAGACTTTTGGGGAAGTGGTTGTCTAATGTGGTCATAAATGATGACGCTGACCATACCTTGAATCTTGTCTGCTCCTGACTCTGCCCTTGCCTCTGGTCTGACTTATCCGGTATGTGATCCTTGTCTTCACTGGCATCATCTTGCTCACCTCAGCTTATATTTGGACTTCAACCCACTTCAACTTGACAGTATCTGACCCTAGCTTGGCTCTGGACCATGCCTTTGCCTCTGATTTTGCCATGCCTTTTTGGCATCTGATCCTTACCTTTGCATCTGCACCTTCCACACCTTGTTGATATTTGAGTTTGCCTGTTCCTGACATTGCCTTTGCCCTTGGTCCTACTGCATAACTGCAAATTTCTCCTTCACCACTGATCCTGGTGCTTCAGCCATAAACTTTGCCATTTACGTTAGAGCTGACAATAAATGTGCATGCAGTGAGTTTTGTTGTGCAAAGTTAGGAAACTCCCAACTCTCTGTCAGCATATGCAGATACTGCAGAAGACAAAAGTGAGCAACTTGTGGCATCACAACTCCCTTCAACCCTAGGTAGCATATCCAATGGTGAGAAATGACCAGAGTTGTAAGCCAAAACACCTGGAGAGCCACAAGTTGCCCACCTCTACATTAAGAGCTTCTGACAGATTCACCAGCTTGCCACAGGCACATACAAAACCATGCAGACCAAAAATCCCTGCCTCTGAACCATTACAATTACAGCTCTTTAGGTCCTCTGTGACTAGACCTCATCACCTGGAAAAAGATGTGTACTTCCCACACCATTCCAGATACACTGAAAACTTCACTTTGCAAGGGGGTGACATAGCCTTTCCCCACTTGGACATTTGCCTATTCTATGAGAAAAAGTAGTAAGTAGTTTCCTCAGTGGCTCCTTCTAGAGCTTCTGAGTTGCACCATGTAGAGACACTTTAGTTCATATGGTGGCATCAGGAGAGGCCCTTACACTGTTGAACCTCATGGTGTTCATTTCATGTGCATCTATCCTCCTGTGCAAGGGTCTTTCTGTGTAGGAAGTGATATTTGTCCCCTATAGTCCTGATTCTTGCTGATGATATCATTGAAAAGTCAGTTAGCCAAAAAGTTAGATTTCATAAACTCAAAGATGGTCCTAAAAAGGCTTTGTTACTCACCATAATGGTTCTTCTTTGGTCCTGGAAATGGATCTGCGTGGATTTTGGGATGAGGGGGAACTCTAGGACTTGGAAACATCTTCTGAGTAGGAGGCAACCTGGGGCTGGGGTGCAGGGGCAAAAGCCCTGGCTGGTCAGTTGGACTGTCGTGGCATCCTTCTCCCGTGACTCCAGGGCAGCATCTCCAAGCTATTTCAGTCACAGTCTTGTAGCCAATCTTGTACCTTGGTCTGAATAATGTGTGATACCTGATTGTCAACAGGGAAGGAAGGTAAAATTAAGAACTTGAACATCTGGACTTCAGGCCAGTGGCACAGAGATCAAGGAACTCTTGATGGCTCTCCATTTGTAGGTCTTTTAAAGCAAGGTAATGAAGCAGGAGGGGTGAAGGAACATTTACACAAAATCTCTCCAAAATTAAGAATTGTTCCAGTGTTATTCCTTCCCATTACTCATGCCTTCAATGCATGTTCAGGACATGAAATTTAAAAGCAGATGATCTCAAGTCTTTGCAATAGTGGTGGACCAATCAGACATGAGTTCGACAGACATGAGTTCAACTGATGGATTGGATTTGAGAGGCTTTGCTGGTTGGATACAACTGACTCTCATCTTACCATTCAAACATGAACAAAGAAGCACTTCTTTCCAAGCCCTTGCTTATGAGTTCAGGTTAACACCAGAGGGGACTGAGCAAGGCAAGTATGGTCCCAGTCAACTAGCTTGCCAACCCAATAATCTCTCTATCTCTATCAATAATCTCTGTCTGTCTACAAGAAAATATATTGGTAGGCTTAAAAATGCTACCGCTCTGTTTGTCCCACTGTTCCCCTAGTCTCCACAGCTAGAAACACTTGCATTGGCCAGAACAATATAGTATTCGTAAAAACTTTTAACCAGAAACAAATATGGAATGTGGTAAACCCTGTTCAAACCACCTACTCCTCACTGGGGTGGAAAAATTACCTGACTCCAGCCCAAGCCAGCCTAAGTCATAAAGCATGGTCTTTTAGCACTAGGGGGCAGCAACTGCCTGCCCGAACCTTCTCTTTTGGCTCCTGCGCCTGGAGGATAAGTTATGCTATGTGGATGTTTAACGACAGGTAAGTTTGTTTTGAATCTGTTTTTAAATCGATTGTGATTTGATTTTTAAGTATATTTTGTGCACCATTCTGACAGCTTGTCTAATCAAATGGTATAGAAATAACATAAATAAATAAGGTGATTCGTGTGCGTGCGTGTGTGGGGGTGCATTATAATAGAGGATCTGAAGGTACTATAAGTGGTACTAGATCACCAGTGAGCCATGTAGCAGAGACTATGGAAAGCTGCTTAAAGCAAAAGGCATATTCTCCAACTAAAAGGAAAGAAAAGAAAAACCATCAGTGGTAAGAAGGCACTCCTAGCTTCTTGGACTGTTTTGGAAAAGTAAAGTGATCCACAAAATAAAGATAGAAATTTCTCTTGAAGCACAGTCCTAAATCGCATTTGAGTTCAGGTAGGAAACAACATCTACCAACATTTTAGAGTTATTTATTTTTTGAGCATGCAATGTGAAAGCTCAAGTTAAAGACAGAAGGTAAATCAGTAGCTCTCAGGTCAATTTGCAAGGATTTGATCAACAAGGATTTCTGACTCCCAAGATTTTAACAAAAGCATTTAAAAATATCTCTGCCATGACAGGCCTTCTCAGTTTTCCTCACCTGTAAAACAAGAATATCGATGAGTTGCCTTTGACAAGTCTTTATGCTGTTCTACCAACCACTTTGATTCTATGTGTTAAACTTCTTGATCTATAATAACTTGTATACAAGTTTGTATTCGAATATGCAGCATATAGCTATTAGGGTATACTATGTAATTAACTTTATTCCCCAACGTGGTTCTGATTAGTAGATCTCAAGGTCCTGGTAAAAAAAAGAAGATCATGCAAGCCCAAAGTTTGCCCCCCTCCCAAACTAGAGACCACCTTTTGAAGTCAGTTTGTCTAGTTCAGCAGCAAGTGGTCTGAACTCTTTGTGGCTCCGTCCCTGCCATTTGGACCTTCTGACAGCGAACTTTAGGATGATCGTGAAAAGTGTAATATCAAGCATTAATCAGCTGAACTCATGAAACAGCAATTGCTGATCAATGCAAAAGAAAAGATTGACAAAACTTCTTCAAGCCACTTCGTATTTTCCTGCAGAGGCAGTTCACACACTCAGCCTCTGAGCCACTCAGCCACTCAGTCCCTGAGTGATGTACCATTCAGTGCACCGTATTCAGCAAAAGTTAATAAGTTTTGGATTGATGATTTTATTATTTCTGTCCTTGTGTAAATTTGCGTTTGAAGATCTTTGCTCCAGTAGATGGCATGATGGACCAAATGGGGACTGATCCTCATAGTCAAACATAAATCAAGATACATGTGTTGAGTCCAATGGCAGCAGATTTTGGTATAGCCTGAGCATGTGAATGAAGCAGGACAAGCTGGCTGATAAGATGAAGTAGTTATGAAGTGTTTGCTTGGCAGCATGACTAGATTCAGGTTTTTCAACACCCAGCCAGATTACATCATGCTCCTTGTTGTCAGGTACACATATTTCGTGCTCTTAAGCTAATTTTTTACATATCAGCAAAGCTAATGATAATCCTCTCAAAAATGCTATGGATTAAGCTGGATGTTGTCTTGATCAGATGCACAGCATTTCATTCTTCTGGGTAACGGAGCACAGCTGATTCATGGCAAAATTACTCTGTTGCTTTGCTACACGCCTTATATCTTAATGCTAGTTTTGTCATGAGAAACACTCTCGCACCCTTCTTCATCTCACCCCACCCCACCTTGAGGCTTCCTCTCTAAGGGCTGAATGCTGTCATGCCAAGTGTAACAATGTTTTTGTACTTCTGCTTAGAACTGTTTTGGGCAGCGTGCTCAGGGCTAGACGTATTTTTTGTTTTTCTGCAAAATGTTAGGCACTGAAAAGAAAAAAAAAGCTTCACTTCCTAGAGACTTTGCACCAGAACCTGCCATGAACCCCTCTGTTTTGTCTTCGTATTAGTAGTAGTAGTAATAGTTGTTGTTGTTGACTGGTATGAGTAGGAATGGAGTATGGCAGCTATTACTCACTGCTGCTCCCTGCAGAAACCTCCAATTACTGTGGCACGGTTAAAAATGAAAACAACCATGAGACCAAGAAACCTGGCTCGGAAATCTGGAAAGGTCCAAAGAAAGCTGCCCAGCTGAGCCACTGTCAGCAGGGACATGGGCACGTGAGCCTTTGCCTTGGCTCTCCGCAGACATCTGGGCTGCTGCCCGCCTCTCTCTTTTTCTCTTGGCTGAGGGTCAGGGTTGTAAAAAGAGCAGAATTGTTTTTCAGGTCAAATTGGGAAGGGAGTTGGCACTGGGGCACTTCTTCCATGCCATGTTGCCCTTTGGTGCTGCTTCCAGTTAGAAATGAAACTGCTTCTTTTCAGGAAAAAAAGTGCAAAAACTCCTCTCAGAGTGCAAAAGCTCTGCTCCACATGTCAGCAACAGGAAGTATTTATTGCAGCTGGATAAACAGTTACCAGTGGCCCTGGTGGCTGGAAAAAGCTACATCGATTCTGCAGTTTTCCAAGCCATGTAGAAAGTTCATCTGGCAGAACTGGCTTTGTTCAAAAAAACATCCTTTTTTAATCCCTTGCGCTTGTTATGAATGGCTGGAAAGGTAAAACTGCTGTTTCAATTTCCACTAATTGCTATGTTAATTGAGTCTATTGTTGACAGGCTACTGTCCTCGGATTCAGAGAGCTGGCCTTCAGTAGCATCATGAACAGTCAGCCAAGGCCTTTGCATTAATATAGGGACAAATTCTCCAAGATGGCAAACTTTGCAGAGGGCAGTCCTCTAACTGAAGGACTATCCAGTCCAACTTAAAGATAAAGAACTCCAAGGAGAAAGACTGGCAGGAGCCTTCAAGTTGGCCATTCATAGTTAACACCTGAACATCAGACTGGTCACAGTCTACTTAATATGGTGAGATGTATAGCATGTCTACTTAACTTAGAGCAATTAGTTCTAAATTTGTGTGTATGGATATGCAAATACTCTTCGAATCAGCTATGTTCTGTCCCTTTCAGATGATTCATTTCCCCTAACCCTATCAGTCCTATAGTTTTAAGGTCATTCCATCATTCCAGGGTACCCCAGGAACTGTAGCCCTCCCATGCTATAAATATCTGAAAGAATTTACTATGTCACCAAAACTCTGGGTTCTTTGGGATGAATCCCATGATGGTATTCAAAGTAATAAAGGGCAGATAAAGCCAGGTAGGTCCTCATTTGTTATAAATGGGACAGATTAAACTCCGAACCCTCTCCACATAAGGCTGCTCTACTTTAACGAAGCCTAAAGTATGCATACTTGACATAACCACCAATTCTGTCCTTGTTTAACCTGTCTTTATCTCCTCCTCCTTCTTTTAGTCCCCCTGTGTCTAGGACTAGAGTGTAAGTCCCTTGGGACTGAGATTTATCATTTTTTTGTAAAGCATCTTTGTTATCTGCCTTTGGGTCAGTTCTATTGTGGACTCCAAGGGGTTCTTCTGAAAACATCTGCTCAGTGAAGGGCTGTTTCCTACCTGATGTATGAAAAAAGTGAAGCCAGTGCTGAAGATGAAGATCTGCCAGTGCTCCCCACTCACATGCACCCCAGCATTTGACAGGACTGCATGAATTCTCTTCTGCAAACATTTGTGGAATGGGGCTGATGAGGATTTTCTTTCCACTTCGGGATCATTGGTTTCAGTCCATAGCATGTGAAGGATTTATGCTATATTTGGGTCAACTTCCAAGAAATACATGGTCATACTGAGCTGCTTCTGGACTCTTGGCTAGCATGGACCTTTGTTGGAAGCAGGCACTCATAAGAGAACCTTTCCAATTGTTAAGCTTTTGATATGTAAGAGCTTCAGATGATGACACAGGAAAACAAAGCTTGTAATGGAAACATGGGAAACCGCTGCCTGGATTGTCCTAAAATTAGGCATCACATACCGTAAGTGCCAAGTGTCATATGTCTGTCTCTCTTTGATGGCTTTGCATCATCACAATGTTCCCAAGCCACTAACCACTCTTGCAACTGTAATGTTCATTGCATCTGTGCAATAGAACTGAAGACGAACCGTGCTGTTCACATAGTGGCCAACCAGCTATGTATGAGAAATGGACAGATAGGACGTGAGTGAATAACAACCCAACTCATGTTCCCCTGCAACTGGCATACAGAGGCATACTGCTTTGATATTCAGGGTAATATGAATATGACTATCAGCTGGAGATGGCCTTCATTGTTGTTATTATGTAATGTCAAGTAATCTCTGATTTATGGTGACCCTATGAATGAAAGCCCTCCAAAATACCCTATCCATAATAGCCCTGGTCAGCTTTTCACGGCTGTAGCTTCCTTTATGGAGTCAAACCTCTTATGTGGTCTTTTTTTTTCTTCTGGCGCTGTTGACTTTCCCTAACATGGTTATCTTCTTCAGGGATTCTTGCCTTCCCATGATGTGTCATTTTTGCTTCTAGGGAAAGCTCTAGCTTGATATCCCTACCCTCCATGATAGTACTATTGATAGCCCTACCCTCCAGGAATTTGTCTTATCCCTTTCTAAAGTAATCCAAATGGGTGGCCTTCATTACATCTTGTGGTAGCAGATTCCATAATAAAACTATGTGCTGTGTCAGAGCAACTGCTTCCTTTTAGCTCCCACCAATCGACTTAGAAAGCTCCCCAGTCAGTCATTTTTAGCACTTACTTGCGTGGTTCTAACATGCTATGCCACGAGGTGACATTCCATACCAGCTAAACAAATGGCCAATGAAAGCCCTGCCATACACTTGCCAACCGTGGGCCACTGTGATAGCAAAGGAAACAAATGCATGAAGAAAGTCAAGGCAAAGCAGGCAGAGAAAGCAGCAGAGGAGATTCAGTAGGAAAATGAAGGCTTGGGAAAGTGCTCACACTAGCAGGGCCCTTGCTACTTTTTAGAATAGTGCTCAATTCACAGGTGCTGCTGCAAAGGCAACTACTTCTTCCAGCCATTACAAAAATAAGTTGATAGTCATCTCCAGTGCTCACCCTGCTGTAGCAGATCCCAGCATATACTTACAGGACTTTCCCAGGACACTTGGGTCCCCAGCTGCACTTGTGGTATTCAGCTTTCACATAGCTTTCTACTCCATCCTGAAGTGTGCATGTTACATTCTTGTGCACCACATATGCACAGTAGCTCCTGCATTGGAAGCAAAGCAAAGATGGGTCAAACATCTGGTGGCCAGATCTGGTTTGCACACCCCTTCCAAAAACTCCAGACCAGACTTCGTTTGCCAGTGAGGGAAAACTGTTAAAGGGTTCCCTTAGCCTTCCCTTTGCTTGGAAGAACCAACTGGCTGATACCATCAAGCTGTAAAGAGGATAGAATTTAGGGGTACTCCACTACCATGGTGGATACTGAGCTATCATGAAAGGAATAATAATAATAAACAAATTAAGACTTGCCTCGGAGAACCAGCAGGCATTTGTCGCTCAGCCTGTGTAATTCATAGGTGGAAACCTCCCTAGAATTTTTCATGCTTCCTTAAATGAGCCAAAAGCAAAATAGGAATCATGCGTATTATTTTCCTGACAAAAATATATGTGTTGGAAAGACTGCAAGGTTAACTAACCACCAGCAACTTACGGTGACCACGTGTTCTACTTTATAAAATACTGGGCTTCAGTTTACATGTTGGCTCAAATGTGTAAAAATAGGTGGGTTAGCATTAAACTACAAACTTAATGAATGTTTAAGTATGACACGGTCCTTTCTTCCTTTGTTCTGTGGCTTCAGGTAACTCACTAGAAGGGATGCCACTGCTCAGAACTCCTATTCTGCAAGGACTTCATGCAATGCACTTGCACTATGAGCTATACATTTGGAGATCTTTGATGGCTATGCCTAATCACAGGTGGGTGGGAGTAGATTGCCATTGATCCATGGATGATTCTGTGCTTAACCAACCAAGGAACTCCCTGCCAAGGCAGACCAGGTAGCTCCCTCCCTCCTCCTCCTCCTGCTGGCAGAGAAATAGGATTTTTTTCACCCAAGCAGGCATTTGACATGTAATCTGGGGTGTTGGGTTGGCAGCTGTTTTTATTTTACTACTGTTGTCTTTTGAATGATGTTTTTAATGTATTTGTTTTGTTTTTATTTAATCAATTCTTATTTTACATTCAGTAATTAACCCACTTTGAATGCCATTTTCTTGATAGAAAGGGAGTGTAAAAATCAAATCAAATTAAAAAATAGCTATAGTGGAGACGATTACAGGTATGCATTGCCAGAACAGATGGAAGCTCAGACAGTATTGCAGACCAGAGTCATTAGATGCAAATGGAAAACATATGGGATGGGATTAGAAATTCAGGAGGTAGCGGGTTAGAGATGGAAACACAACAGAGGAGGATTAAAAGGATGGGGACACAGCAGAGTGCACTATGAGAAGAGAAAGAATGCTGGAAACAACTCGCAAGATGTAGAAAGAAGGTCCTCACAGCAGATGGGCAGAGATGACACTCAGAATACTGACAGTAGGGGTGTTAATTCATGGACAAATTAAAATCTCTAAAACAGGTAGATCTCTGTGAACATGATGTGTCTCCAGTTTGAGACTTCCTAAGTCAATCTGTTCTAACATGGTGCCCTGAGGATGTGTTGAACTACAACTCCTTCGACATGCACATAGTAGGCATGTCATGAGTGGATCCGGTTGGAGCCAGGGGTCAGACTAGATGGCCCAGAGGACCCCTTCTGACTCACTCTGTTTCTATGTTTCCCAACATCTCTAGCCAACACAACTAGAAGACACCTGGTTGAGGAAGACTGTCCTAGGAAGGGCTAGTGTGGCCCTTATCAGATATTATGTGCAGCATATTTGAAATTTTAAAATCCAAAATACAGAAAATTTGAAATTTGAGGATTTCGTTGCAGCTCTAGTCAGGAATCCTGGAATAACCACTGCAATAACTTTCCAGTGGAATGCCATGTGTTTGCAATTTGTTAATAATGAAATTCAGTAAAAAAAAAAAAGAAAGAAAAAGAAAATTGGAGTACATGGCAAAGCACTCAAAAATATGGTGAACATCTCTTTAGCATTAAAAAAGTGTTGAAAATCTTTAGAGGATTTCTTATGAAATATTGAGTGGAAAGCTGGCTAAGAGTGGAGAAACCTATGTGTTTATGCCAAGGAAGCCCAGTCGTCACTGCCAAACTAGGTGGACCTTTGATATGATCTAGTAAGGCAGATTTTATATTTTGGAGTATATTTACAGTTTGGATGTATATTTACATCTACCATAATATAACTAAGCACCCAAATCAGAATCAGATATTAGACATGAAACTGACATGCAGGTACTGTCAGCTACAGTCTGAGAACCTGCATAAAAACTTTTTCATTTAGAAGCTATTTTACCTCTAGTCCATATAAAATTGTTGTCAGCCTTCCTCAAAGAAATGGAAGCTGCTTGGCCAAAGAAATTAGACAGGGTTAATATATGTGGGGCAGTCAGGGATTAGAAAGAAGTTACAAAGAAAGATGCCCCCTACAACTGGTATAGTGAAGGCTGTTACACTGGTAATGGAAAAGGATACTGCATCAAGATGAACAGAACAGAACATGGGCCTGTAAAATGTTGCAGTGTATCCTGTCTTTAATAGTAATGTTTGCCACCTATTCCATCTTCCACAATACTCCATTCTATTCCATTCTCTTGTGTTTTTCTACATAACATGTGGGTGTGGCAATGGTCAGGGTTTTGAGCCAGCCCTTGCCCTCAGGGGTCCAATCCTAGCTGCATGACTGGTGTTACCTGGAGATGCTGGGGGTGCAACCAGAGTCCCCTTTGCATGGAAAACATGTGTGATACCAGTGATACATGGATGCATACATGGAGCCTTTGCCCCACAAGGCTGCTGTCTGGATTGGGTTGACCCAGGCAGGGATGTTACTGCTGTGGCAGAGGGTTGGACGAGCCCAGTCTTTCCTAACCTCAGATTCGCTGCTATCTGGACTCCACAGTTGATACTGTTCCAGGACAGGAAGTGTCCAGAGCTCCGTCTGGTCCATCTTTAATGGATGAGTTTCAGTTATTGTGGCCTGATGATGTAGACAAGGTCCTTGGGATGGTATGTTCTACCACCTGTCTTCCTGGCCCTTGCCCTTCCTGGCTACTTAAGGAGGCCAGTTACGGGATTGGTCCCTGGGTCCAGGAGGTTATTAATGGCTCACTGAGGGAGAGCTGGGTCCCAGCCCCCTTGAAGGAGGCAGTGATCCAACCTATCCTGAAGAAGACATCCCTCAACCCAGAGGTGGCCACCAACTATAGACCGGTGGCCAATATTCCATTTTTGGGCAAGGTGTTAGAGCGGGTGGTAGCGGGACAACTCCAGGCACTCTTGGATGAAACTGATTATCTGGACCCATTTCAGACTAGCTTCAGACCTGGTTATGGTACTGAATCTGCCTTGGACACCCTGTATGATGACTGTGCAGGGAGAGGGACAGGGGGAGTAAGTCCCTGTTGGTTCTCATGGACCTCTCAGTGGCTTTTGATACCATCAACCATAATATCCTTCTGGACAGGCTGGCTCACTTGGGAGTAGGAGGCACTGCGTGGCAGTGGTTCCACTCCTATCTGGCCAGCTGATTCCAGATGGCGGTGCTGGGGGACTTTAGCTCTGCACCATGGCAGCTTTGCCATGGAGTTCCACAGGGCTCTATTTTGTCCCCCATGCTATTTAGCATCTACATGAAACTGCTGGGAGAGGTCATCAGGAAGTTTGGGCTGCGGAGTCATCAGTATGCTGATGACACCCAGCTCTGCCTCTCATTTACATCTGCTCCAGGTGGGGCGGTGGCTAGACTGAACAGGTGCCTGGCCGAGGTAATAGGCTGGATGAGGGCCAATAAACTGAGCCTCAATCCAGATAAGACGGAAGTCCTGCTGGTGGGCAGTGCAAGTCTCCAGACAGGAGATTTTGACCCAGTTCTGGACAGGGTAGCACTCCCTCTAAGGACAGGGTCCGCAGCTTGGGAGTACTCCTTGACCCAGAGCTGTCACTGGAGTTCCAGGTGGTGGCGGTGGCAAGGAGTGCTTTCCTACAACTTGGATTGATCCATAGCTGCGTCCTTACTTGGATGAGCACTCCCTAGCAACAGTGATACATGCTCTGGTAACTTCCTGCTTGGGTTACTGCAATGTGCTGTACGTGGGGCTGCCCTTGAAAATGGTCCGGATACCGCAACTGGTGCAGAATAGAGCTGCCAGGCTGCTAACGGGGTCTGGCCGTTACTTTCACATAATGCCAGTCCTCTACCAGTTCCACTGGCTTCCAGTTGAAGTCAGGGCCCAATTCAAGGTGCTGGTTTTGACCTATAAAGCCCTAAATGGCTTGGGACCAGAATGCCTGAAGGAATGTCTCCTTCCTTATATGCCTTCATGCCCCTTAAGATCTATGGGAGAAGCCCTACTCCAGGAACCCTCTCTAAGAGAGGTAAAAAGGTCATCAACTCAGAGTAGGGACTTCTCTGCTGTGGCACCCAGACTCTGGAATGTACTTCCCAGAGAGGTATGCCTGGTGCCAAGGTTATACTCTTTTTGGCACCAGGCCAAAACCTTTTTATTTAAACAGGATTTTAAAATTTAATAGTTTTTAAGTTTAGTCGCTCTGTTTGCTTTGTGATTTATTGTTTTGTTCTGTTTTATTATTTATTGAAATTGTTCTTTTAATTGTCTTTTAAAATATTGCAAGCCATCCTGAGATCTTGTATAATAGGACGGCATACAAAAGCTTTTAATAAATAAATATTAAATAACCTGGTGCCCTCTAGAGGTTTTGGACTTCCACTCCCATCAGTCCCAGCCAGCACGGGCAATAGACAGGAACACTAGGGTTTAAAGTCCAAAACATCTAGAGGAGCCCAGATCATGGAAGGTTGGACAAGTTGCTTTTTTAAGTGCCATCCAAGTTTGATTCAAAAAGGGCACACTATTAAGATCTCAAGAGCAGCCCTGTGAGATCATCTTGTCCAGTATTTCCCTGCTTCCAGATTCCACTGGGAAGCCTGGAAGGAGAGCATGGTGGTATACAGAGGATGTCCAGATAATTTTCAGGCATACATGGAGGAATTTTTCATGATCAATATCCCCTACCCTCTGAAGATAGAAATTTTTCCAGTTCCCCTTTAAAAC